ATGGCACACGACAAGACACACATTCGGCATGTAATGCTGTTTCAATATAAAAAGGGGAAACAATGCCTTTGTAGCCAAAAAGAATATCAAAGAAGTTTATGGAAATGTTTTGAATATTCGTAAGTGTCAACGATGGTAGAAAATTTCGTTCAAGTAACTTTAGCCTTAAAAACTGTGATGGCAGGGGCTAACATATTGGAATTGATTTTGATGCTCTGAAGACGCTTGCTGGGTTCAACCCAAGGCAACACACTCAGGAAATGGCCCTGAAATTGCATGTCTCTCATGAAACAATATCTAAACATATAAGGAATATGGGAAAACTCCGTAAAAAAGATGTTTGGGTGCCTCACGAACTCTCCGATGATCATTGTTTCCAACGTGTGAACGTTGCTTCATCTCCTCTGGCTCGTAATGCGTGTGAACTATTTTTGGACAGAATTGTCACCAGTGGTGAAAAATGGATTCTCTGTGCAAATATTAAATGCTAAAAACAATGGCTTAGTCCTAGACAAAAACCATTTCCGACCCCAAAACCTGGACTCCATCATCAGAAAGTGATGCTTTGCATTTGGTGGGACATCAAATGAGTAATTCAATTTGAATTCCTCAATCCACAGCAAACTGTCAGTGCATAGATCTATTGTAAAAATCAAGCCCTTCATCAAAAATGCCTTTCACTCGTCAATCAGAAAGGTGTTGTTCTTCTCCACAAGTTGAGTTGGGAAGTTCTCCCCTACCCACCATGTTTTCCAGATACGGCTCCATCAGATTACCATGTCTTTTGTTTGCTACGACACCATCTTAATGGGAAGGTGTTAAAGAGGACATTGACATTTTTTTGCTTGAAAGCCAAGTGATTTATTTAATCAGGACATTAACAATCTGATTGTAAGATGGAAAAGCCTCAGCGATAAGAATGGAGACTATTTCATTTAAAAAATGTTTTGTTTTGATATACAAGTTGTTCGTTTTTTTCATTTAAAAAAAGTGAAATGAAAGGTGGGTTTAAAATTTTATCGCTTTTTTTTCTTTTACCTTGAGATAGGTGTCCAAGGGCAGCCATGATGGATGAAACAGTTCCTTGTTGCCCAATTGTCATGCTATACCAGATCAAATGATTTCATGAGTATACCATTTCAAGGTATACTCACAAAACCATAAGTGACTGTCATCTAATTGTTTTAAATAAGACTCTAATATTTAGAATACAGCTACAACACTGTGAAGTGAACAAAATCAGTAAAGTACATCAAGTCATAAAGAAAAGATTTGGCTTTAAGGAAAACACCTGACAATAGTGTAACTGCTTACTGTTTTACAAAGTGATTTGGATCATTTAGGGAATTGGGCAAATAAATAGTAGACTGCATCTAATTATGCTAAGTGCAAGGTAATGCATGGGCCTACATGACCAGGGTCCAAGAAATTATTAGGGGCTACCCACCAAAAGAGATTATAATAATTGAAAAGAATAAAATGCATTAAATGTATTTTTTTTTACATTTATGTTTTGTCTTGCAAAACCTTTATTACAGCCATTTTAACACCTCTTTTGATTTATAAATAATCCAGTGTTATATAAGCTGGAGAAAGAGATGGAGTTGTACTGCTCAAAACAGGTTAAATGTTCAATATTTACTGTAACAATTATAAATATGTACAATGGTAGTGATGGTGGAGGGTTGACCCTCTGTGCCCAGGGCACCCAACATTTTTAATTTGGCCCTGTTGGATGGAAACCAACTCAATATTACTTTGGACAAATGAAACTTGGTGTTTTGGGCAATCAGCATTTGAGGTAGTGTGTTGTTGCCACTGGGAAAGCCCAGAAAGCAAACATGATTTTGGGTTGTACCTACACGAATAATGAATACAAGTCAAAGGAGGTTATCATTTCTTTGTATGGATCTCTGGTAAGGCTTCATTTAGAGTACCGTGTTCAGTCTTGGACTCCATATTTTAATGATATAGAGTTAAAAATGTTCAAAGGTGGGCTGTTAGGGTGATTCCTAGGATAGAGATCCTTAAAATGATTTTCACTCGAGAAAAGTTAAATGTGATCTGATTGAAGTTATAAATTATAACAGGAAAAGACAGGATTGTATCATTTTTGTGTGTGTTTAATGGTAAAAGTGGTAGGACTAGGGGCACAGATGTAAGACTTGGCAGAGTAAAATCATCTTCAAATTAGGTAGATTCAACAGGATTATGATACTTCAAAAGTAGTACTAAAGTTAGGACCATATTTTACAATAAATTTAAATTCATACACGCAAAGTCGAAAACTTAGCCTTCGCAAGTCAACAGCAGAAGGCCGGTACGTCAGTGGTACTAGTACTAATACAGTGTCTGTATTACTACCAGTACTAGTCTAAAACTAGTAAAACCTCGATAACCAGTATATTATATTGTACTACTCTCTCATATTACACAAAAACAAAAGAACTAGTGGTAGTAGTATGATATAGCAGTAAAGCTCTCCAGAGTGCAATTTTTTTTATTAAAATAAACTTATAAATAATGTTAACCAAACAACTTACCACAGATTTCAATAAGCGTGTATACCATAGTCTGTACCATTAGCCATTAGAGTCTTTGCGCCATCTATAGTCAAGTTGAACATCCTGAAATTGAAACAATTATTTATATATATATATATATCTTAATTTAAGAGTAATAAATCATTATGTATTTGTTTTATTGCAAATCAATAACGAAACAGTTACGTACTAACTTAAGAAAAATGTTATATAATAAGAAAGAACAAACACAATTTTAACATGTTGTAATTTAGGCGGAATAATTTCTCTGATAACCTTTAAGAGTTGCATGAGACTAATTTTGACTTTAAATAATGGTTCAGTATGTTGTCGACTTACGCACAATACTACTCGAGGGCTAGGTGTTCCTAATTTTGAAGTGATAGGCTAGAAGAAAGGCAACTATTCAACTCCCCCCAACCGCTAAATCTTGAGCTACTCTTGAGAGATCTAATAATAGGATTTGACCGTAACTCTTATAACTTACCCAAGGCCCAAAGATTTCAGAGCATGATTTTTTTGGCAGTAATGAGCCACGAACCGCCGCGTTAAGTTCAAATGTGATACTATTTTATAGCAGGTAGTAACATGTGAGAAAATACAACAATTAATAAATATTGCAGTAATCGCAGATAGTTGACACAATATCATAAATAACGCTATTTCTATATGTTGGATTTATGTAAAGATGAAACTGTATTTTTTTTAACAAACAATATAGTAGATGTCAATAGAAGTAATTATTAAACAACCAAACCATTAGTCAATGGTAATCAGATAGAGAAAAATAGGACAAATGAATTACAGGCATACTAATCAGTAGAAGAACGAAGAAAACAAAATTTGATTGCAAATAAAAGTTCATTTTTAAGATTTGATTAATTTTATTCCACCATTGTTTTGTTTCTGCTACCACTGTGGATTTCATAAAATTATGTCACTGAGCGTCCATAACACAAGCTAACAGACCGCACAGATCAGCTTCTATATAAGATGGCCACTTCGCTGTTTACTGTTCTATAACTGAAACTCCCAGAATTAAAAGAGTAAAATATTATTAGAAATATTGTCCTTTTATAAAAGAAAATACATTATTTTTCTTTTCCATAAGCGTATGCTACAGTTTTGCAGATGCTCTGACAGCAACATAACCAAGTTTGGTCTTTAATTGGATAAGATTTAGTAATACTCTTATTTAGTAGGTTGGATTTAAAAATAATTTGGAAAATAAACATATGTTTTATTTCGTAAATGGATAAAGTTTTACTGAATAATTTAGCCAGGAGGATTATATATCTAAAAAAAAGTTTATATAAATCCTTTAATCAGACTTCTTGTCTTGTAAATAAAATCTGACAATGATTTAAACTTAGAAAGTTGGGCATAAATCTTAAGTTACAAATGGAACAATAGACTGGATTTCGTAAGATCACCAGTTACTTTGTTTTGCAGGGACCGGAAATCAAGTAAATTGTTTGTAATTCAATAAGTTGATACTCTAAAAGAGATTAAACAGGATATCACATGTTTGGTGGGATTCGTTAATGTTCTAATTTAGTTTGTTTTGTTTGAAATTAAACACAAAGCTACATAATGGGCTATCTGCGCTCTGCCCACCACCGGTATCGAAACCCGGATTCTAGTGTTGTAATTCCTCAGACATACCGCTGTGCCACTGGGGGGGGGGGGCTCTAATTTAGTAGATTGAATTAAAAATTATTTGGATGAATAATCAGATATTTCATCTCAGAAATGGATTAACCTGTTATTAAATTCAAAGGATCATATCAAACAATATTTTATACATATCCTTTCATCAGACAGTTAGTCTTGCAAATGAAATCCGGCAATGAGTTAAACACGGCAAATTGAACATAAAACTTTTAAAAATAAATCAGTATATGTCTTAAGCATATCTTAATTATTATGTTTCGAATTCAATAGACTGAATTTCACAAATGGTGCATGTAAACCATAAATATTTTGTATAACAAATAAATAAATTCGGATAGATTCTTTGAATTATGAAAGTTGAATTTCGAAAATTAAAATTATGTAACAATTTTCAATACCCACATTTATGCTCCTAGAGGCGAGGAGTCTAATAGTCAATTAAATGTGATCTAGTGTAATTTCAGTTTAGAAAATGGGATTTCTTAAAATGTCTTAACATGAAAAAAATATATCATTAATTATCTCTGAAATAAATAGGATTAAGTTTGAAGTATTTAACTTTAGCAAAGAGGATCTTAAGATGAATATGTAAATATATTATTAAATATCTCGCAAATGAGTAGAAATATGTAGTGATTTTTTACGAGCAGATGGCTTCAAATGTCTGTTGAGATACATAAGCTGCAAATGAAAGCTAAATAACCACGCGATTATTTCCAACAGGCAGTTTTGTTTTCGGTATTAAAACAGACCAACGACTAAGTAATAATATTTGAGGATTATGAAATTCCGGATAAAAAGTTTAAGTGGTTCTGTTTTACACAACTCGGATAATCATTATAGTCAAATATGTTCTTGGAAAATTTGAACACTAATATGCATTTGGTTTTCTAGTTATCGTTATCAGTTGATAATAATTTTTTTTAAATATGAGAATCTTTAATGTTATTTGGGATTCTCTTGACAGATGGCAGAAGTAAACCTTTCCGAAACTGTACTCATGAGAACAATTATTATAATTTTTTAAATTTATAATCTCTAAATTAAAATAAAAACCAATTTTATCATATCAATGAGTCTATATTTTTATTGTAGTTTTATAAAAAAAATTGGTATTAATTATTTAGGAATATTGTATTATGAAGAATTTTGACACATATTGTACATGTACCAATATTCCGTTATTTTTAATTCAATTCAGACTAGCACATAACATCAGTTGATAATTTAGTAGTCTTTTAATAGAACATATATAATCTTGATGGAGAAGGTGAAGAGTTTCTTATCAGTGCTTTCAACTTTATGCTCTGAGAAATGTATACTGGATATCAGCTTCTATTGGTCCGTGGAAGGTGAGGCTCCGTTGATTGGAAATTAAATAAAATAAAAACGTGCCTGTTCTAAAAAATAAAAATTGCATATTAACGCTTTTAGCTTATTTTTATTCATTTAGACACGAGGAGCGTGTTACGACAGCGGAAGTCACGTGACTCTATAACACGTAATGCGTTCTAGAAAGATCGGGAACATCAAGAATAATCCAGTATTTGCTAGACGCCCTCTATTCTTGTATATAAGTGCGCCAGACAATTAATCGGGATAGAATTGCAGACAGACAGAGACGGGCAATTGAGTCAAGCGCGGTAGTAAGTAAGTGCGTGAATCGTTCCCTGTGAATTACAACGTGTTTTTATAAAATTAGTTAAGTTAAATTGGCTGTGGAAAGTTGAATTGAGAAAGAATAAACTAGTTTTATTTAAGAAAGGACTTGTGTCGCTAAAGTTTTACCGGAAAAAAATTATACGGGAAATTAACCAACGACCAGAGACGTAACAGTACCAACTATAAAATGAAATGCTTATTCTTCCAAATAAGGAAAGTTGATATCAGTTTACCACTTAATAACACACACTGAGAACCTCGGTTCTCTGGTTTTCACCTAAACAAAACAGCATATCTATAACCTTTATAAAGAACACTTGCCAAAAATTGTAATTTTTCTCACAGTTACAGTAGAGATTAAAATGCAGAAATATGACCAATAATCTAAATGTTATTCCTTACTGGCGGGACACAAATATATCTGTAATTACAATGTAAACGTAAACAAAAATTAATATGACCTTCTCCAGCGTTTATAATGGCAATAATAAAACTATGTTACGACAGCGGAAGTCACGCGACGCTGGAAGCATGCGCGCTGGAGTTTCTAGAAGGATCATGACTGTTCCTGGCAACTCTAGTCTTTTCTAGGCGC